TAATAATAATAATAATAATAATAATAATAATAATAATAATAATAATAATAATAATAATAATAATAATAATAATAATAATAATAATAATAATAATAATAATAATAATAATAATAATAATAATAATAATAATAATAATAATAATAATAATAATAATAATAATAATAATAATAATAATAATAATAATAATAATAATAATAATAATAATAATAATAATAATAATAATAATAATAATAATAATAATAATAATAATAATAATAATAATAATAATAATAATAATAATAATAATAATAATAATAATAATAATAATAATAATAATAATAATAATAATAATAATAATAATAATAATAATAATAATAATAATAATAATAATAATAATAATAATAATAATAATAATAATAATAATAATAATAATAATAATAATAATAATAATAATAATAATAATAATAATAATAATAATAATAATAATAATAATAATAATAATAATAATAATAATAATAATAATAATAATAATAATAATAATAATAATAATAATAATAATAATAATAATAATAATAATAATAATAATAATAATAATAATAATAATAATAATGGTAACAACACCAACGAACAAACTGCAGCTTGTGCAGCGGACTGTACTTAGAGATGAATGAATCGGTGTTACGCATAGGGGGTCCGAAATTTAATATCAGAAATATGACCGAATCTCAAAACGGTACAAACCGTCCAGACAAGTTGAGCCTTCGGCACCATGGGCTGGCAAGTGTTTGTCTAATGACGAAGCCACAGAAAACAGGGAAATGGAACGATTGAAAGCAAGTGAGAAAACAGAGTCGAAGGACATGTTGAATAAAATTACGATCATTGAAGTTTCATGTTCTCTAGACATTGAAAGAATAAGCTAACCTGAGTTTCCGAAGAACCCGAAGACCAGGGATGAACAGAAAATGAGTGCGCAGCCGGCAGGTCTGTCCGCGTTGTATTCACAATTGAAGTTTCAGATGATCCAGATATACCTGTCCTGGGTGGTGATGCCATTGCGGCCATTGTTGCAACTGCAGCGAAAAATTCCGACGTATCATTTGAATTGGAGCTGGGGGGTACTGTTAGGCTTTTCAGTGTGCTGTGAAGAGCACCAGTCGAAACAGAACTTTCGGCTTGACTAACTGTGGTGGGCTCAGATGAAAGTGAATTTGGTGACGTTTCCATTTGCTGTTGGGCCAACAAAGAATAAAAATACTTCGTCAGAGGGTAATTAGCAAACTGTGCCGCCAAGTGGTCTATTCGATGGCTGGATGAACTTGGTGGAGCCAAGGTCTCCGAGGCTGATGACGAGCTGATTGCCGAAGCAAGAGATTGTGTAGTGGCATGGTTTACTGACTGACTGGAAACAGAAATCCCAGGAAGATTGGATGTCTGACTTATCAGACCGGGGGATATGGCAGTGGAGTCCGATCCGTTTTGGTTGATTGACGATCCACCAGTAGCAACAAGCGTCAGTACATGCATTGGGGTAAAGACCCTAGGTGGGGTTGTTGATGCGAGGACATCTGGCGTCATCAGGTTCCCGTTAGCCAGTGGGGATTTAACCGTTCTGTCGGAACACTAAAATGTCAGAATCAAGAGAATATGGCCTAAGGGCTTAAAAGTTGTCGACCAAAATAATTTACAGAAAGGGAAACTTGGTTACTTTACTAGCAATACAAGATAAGGGAAAAACATGTTGTCTTTATGAGGTATAATCCTCCGACGCAACCAGGATAAACCGTCTCCTGAGCTTTTATTTTACGGCTATATTGGTGCGTCATTAACACCGTCAGAAATCAGTATTTCAACACAAGCTTCTATTCGCTCCTCCAGCATCTCCGGAGGACTACCATGGCTCACGAGCATCGCTCTGGGCTAGCTCAGCCAATCTCGGTAGAAAACCAAGTGTATTTATTATTGGCGGTGCATGTGGAAGAAGCATGGTAAAGCGTAGAACTAGCCATGCTAGCAATGTGTTGTGTTATCTGTCCGACTTCTCCGGTACGATCATGGATATTGTCCACCTCAACAGTCCTGACTGGTGCCAAGAAACACCAGCATGCAATGAGTGGGACGGCGCACGGAAAATGCCAAATAGTGAAGAGTCTAAGACCGAGGGCTCGATCGGACAATGAAAGCTCCGGAGATGGAGGCCTTTGCCACCGGAAATGGTCCTACATTATTTGGTTCGACTGATTGGCCAAAGGGAAAAAAAACAGTGAAAAAGGCGGCTTAATAATCTACTTACAAAAACGGAAAATTGGAAAGATGGATTGGGCTCAACGATGAACAACACCTGCAACACAGCCTCTGTATACCGCATGCGCACAAATGAAATGCAAACCTTAAATCGTCAGTCAGAAAGAAGCATATTCCTGCTAAAACATAAGAAGCATCACTACCGGACAGTTTGCATACAATCCTCCACAAAAAAGGCGGACAATCCCTAGTTAACAACCTGACAAAACTTAATGGTGCTATGCAGAATGGAAAGTGCCTTCAGTGGCTGCATTTAGTCACTCTAACCATCACAGTACGCGAATACGGTGAAAACCACTGTGGCCCTGTCAAGGTGGCTATGGCAATGACGTCGCTCTCCAGCCTAATCTTTCGAAGATTGACTGAACACAGAAATAGGCACACCCCTGCACAATAAGCTGGGTTCCATCCCGCAAGAAGATACGTCGGTCGCATATTTGCCCTTCAACAGATTCCGGAACAGCGAAACTATTTTTATCCGCCGAAGATGGTGGTCTTCCTCGAATTGAGAGCTGCCTTTGACCCAATGGACCGTCGGGCACTATGGTAGTCTGTGGAGCGGAATTCTTGAATTCTCGACCCTCCTTAGCGCTCTGTATGCCAGCTCTTGCGAACGCGTGAAGACCTACAGGAAGAGGTCGCCTGAGATCGCTACATTAGGTGATGTCGGGAAGAATTCCTATTTCACCTTTCCTCTTCAACTCTGCCATTGATATGACCACGGGAGGTTCACTGACAGCCTCTAATGCGTATGAGGTCAAAATGCTCCCAGGGTGTCCGCCCACAGACGACCTAGCTCTTTCTGGATGTGGTGCCATCATAACGCAGACAGCATTAACATTAAATAACAATAAATGGTTCTGTCCCACCGTTTCGAATGCGCTTCACACGAGTAAGGTGTACAGTGCTGCTGCCTTTGCAGATGACCCGACAAATCTGTTTACCTGGGCAACCGTATCAGTCTCCGTGGTCTAGTTAAAGACGATGTTTCAGTCCGAACCGAGAGGTTCAGAGAAACTTTTATCAACATGCATCAGCCATGGTACAGGTGAGGCATGAGCTTATCCGTCAGAGGTCCAGTACAAAATGCGGCAGCTCCATGTTATTATGTGGGCCGGAAACAAGGCTGCTGAGCGCTGAGGTTAGCAATATTCAGAGCATAGCCCGAGTTTGGGAACACCGAATCAGTGATGCCAAAGTACTTCGAATGGTTTTCGGAAGAAAGAACTCGCCCACGATACAAGAAATGATCACACTCCACAGACTGCGCTGGCTCGGTCACGCACGCCAATGTCGCCGACTACTTCTTCGGAAATACCTTTTCTCAGAACCTCGCGAACTGTGGAAACGAGCCACGGGAGACTAAGTAGTGACTTGGTAGCAAAGTATGATGACTAGTACCAGCAAACGCAGCTGCGCCAGTCATTGCCATCTCCTTGGATGGGGACCCCGAACTGCGCCAGTCATTGCCATCTCCCTGGATGGGGACCCCGAGACAGTGGTATATCACTGGTTTGAGATAATGGCAAACAGGTTGTCGAGCACTCAATGGCGTCTATTCTTCAAAGCTGTTCCCTCCAACGCATAACCTCTTCTCTCAGTCTTATCAATGTAAGGTTATCACCCACGTGGTACTGGTGTTCTCGGACAAGATGGCTGTGGTTAGAGCGCGAACTTACTGACCGGAAGGTCTGTGGTTCGAAACCGACCTCTGTCTCTCGACTTCGCCTGTCTAAGCATGGGCAACCTGGCAGTATACCAGCGCTTGTGCTTCCTTCGGGTGGCATGGCAGTTAGGCACCGAGGGTGCTACAGCTGAACGATTTATTGTTTTTATTAGTGTAATTTCATTCCTGGATTCATGCTTCAATTATACCAGCCTGCAATGCGCTGTTATTCACCTCGTCGTCGCCAACATCGGTAAACGAAGCCGAGGCAGCTATTTCACCGTAGATATCCACGGTTTATAGTATACAGCGGTTTACTGTTGATGGCCTGTAAAAACTGGAAAGATAGAGATATAGTTCCAGGAGAAGCGATCAAGCACAAGTCCACAAACAAGAGTTCGCGTCAGCATATCATGGATTGTTTCCTTCGAACTTTTCGCAAGCGAGGAATCTAAAACAGTAGTCCGTTTGATTTAAGGCAGAATATGTTCCGGTGATCAGATATTCAAATCTGGGAAGCCGGGCTCCAATAAAAGTACAACTACGCAGTCAGGGCAAGCAAAGCTGACGATTGATTAACACCAAAACTATTTGGTGAACAGACTTCTCTTCGAGATTAGCAAATTGATTTTTATCGAGTTTGAATTAACAAGGTGTCGCATCTAGAGTACAGGCTTAGGCCTGTACGTAGCGAAACATGGACTTTTGCCTTCGTCGGTACAAACTGACAAAAAGTGGACGGTAAAACCCTTTCGATAACCCCCTTTGTTTATGTTGTGATTATTCAGGATAACAACAATGCACGAGAACTCACCAACAAGGGGGATTTCGATACAACCACATCAATGGAATTGACGAGCGCACTGGACTGTTCGCCGACGGCATGCAGAGAAGACAGGCTGACCAATTGCCCAGAAGAGGAGATAACAGGATGACGCTGGAGCAATGGCTGGTCAAGAGTTCCAACAGCCAGCTTTTGAAGGTAGTCGGACTCATCAAAATGACCACTGACAACTGCATCGATTACTTCATCTACGGTGCTAGAAGTTTGGTCGTCTTGATTGTTCTGTTCACTAGCATCCATCTTCAGTCGCACGCATGCCTCCTGCTCATTCGTCATGTTAGCGGACCGAGGTTCACAATTCACACTGGTTAGTGGAACTTCAGCGGGATCGGGCTTTATAATTATCTTAGGGTCAGGAGCCTTGCGTGCGGCTGAAATAGTTCCACCGCCATCTGAAGATTGAGATATTGATGATAGTTTCGACGTCACGGGCATTGGTGCAATGGGTAGAAGTGGTGTAATAGGGGACACTGCGACGCAAGGAGTCAGTGCAACTGTAGTTAGGGTTGGGTGAAAAGAAACCGAGCTTGAACAAGTTGGTGGAACCGAAATGACTGCAGGAGGTATCTTTTTAGATCGCTTGCTCTTTTCACGTTGTTGCATAGACTCCTCATCTTTTTCTTGTTTCACGCGTTCTATGACACGTTGTACATAAGATGTATAGTCAGACGGATCAAGGATTGTATTACCAGAAACGCCCGCATAGGCACTTTGTTCCAAAGGAGTAGGTATGACTATCGAGCCTGAAGAAGTTAGCTCAACAGCTTTAGTGTTTACCGATGTATTGTTGGTACCAACACCGGTCGATAAGTCTTGATCTCCTCGTTTTATGTAGACACTAGCCACAGTGTTTGGAGTGGGCAGTACACAAACCGGCGAGTTACTTATTGTAGTGTTGTAAACCAGCGTCGGAGTAGTGTAGACCGTGGTGGTAACGGGATTCTGGATAGACAACACAGATGTATTCAAAGAAACTGATGTAGCGGGAAGGATAAGAGTAACGTGTCTAGGGGTTGCTGGGGTCGCGATTTGTGGCGCTGGACACGAAGTTGGTACCAAAGTAAGCCCTTGTGAGGAGAAAGTTACTCCCGGTGTGGCTCTAGGCACAGTGACCAGAACAGACTGACCGACGGTTGGCATTTCATCTGGCTGTGACGCTGAAGTCAACATAGTAATGGGGGTGAAGACGGACGAATGTAAGCTCAATGGAGCAAGAGGAGCTATACTTGCGATGGAGCTTGAAGCAGACAACTGGGAATCGGAGAGAGGTTGGGTTAACGAGCTGCTGGTTGTGGAACTAACAACGACATCCATGTCACACTGGCTCAATGGAGTCATGATTGCGGTGGCTTTAGGTTCACTCCGAGTAGAGATTACAGGCAGAGGTGGGGAGGAACCACGCTTCTCCAGAGATTGAGGTCTTGATAAACTAGTCTGCTGCTCACTGGGCGATACGTGGACTTCCATAGAGTCATAAATCACCTCTTCTATCACGTCCGGTTGCACGCTGTTTTGGTGGTCTTCCGAATAGATGCGCGGAGGTGAGGGGTCATCCAGCGCCGATACGACGGGAGGGGGGAGATCATCATCAGTCGACCTACCATTGGCATGCCCCAGTAAACTATCGTTGTCATTCAACTCAATGGAATCGCTACAGAGCCTAGCCGAATCATCCTCATCATGCTTCTCAAGAGACGGAAGCTCGTCATCAGATTCAAGTGTTTGTTTATGAGATGAGTCGTCTATCGAACCTACGGAAACTGCCATTGAAGTAGTAATACCAGATGGCAGCTCCCGCTTGGGCGTGGAGTGATTTGTCAGGGAAGTGAAAATATTCCATTCAGAAGGATCTCGTTTGCTGTTAAGAGATCCCGTCTGATTGGCGCTTGAACCGGTGTCTGTCAAGGGCAAAGTGGATGACGTCGGATTCGTGACGTCCGAGACACGGGTTACAGTACTTCTATTAACATTTTCCACTGATCGCGAACTAACTTCCACTTTTTTCTCCTCAGAATTGTGGGAAGCTGGTGAAAGAAAAGCACTGAATGTGTGTCGTACGGCGGCGTCAGCCCCCAAGTCATCCGGGCTACAGGACCCACTAATCGGAGGACTATCGGATGAACGAGATGCAGGAGACGGTGTGAGCGGAGGAACGACGGACTTGAGGACGGTTTTCGACTTGGAACGGCCTTCTGATTCAGAGTTCGAGGAAGAAAAAGAAGAATCCGAATCTGATGAAGCGAAAACTCGACGGACCAAGCTACGTGGTTGCCTTTCAGAAACAGAGGATAGCTCGGGCTTTGTTTTGTGTTTTGTGGGCTGAGAATCAGCCGATTTGAAGAGACTACTATTACAGCCGGACTGATTCTCTACAATACACCTCCGACGTTTTGGGGGTAGTGAACTGGAGCTAGGGAAATCGGGGCTCGGGGAGTTATGGTGTGTTGGTTTAGCAACGCGTTTAACGCGACCACGCCCACTGCCTCTGCGTCCCACAGAATCCTGTAGATTGAGGGTGCCTCGAGACTGTGGTTTGCCACCTCTATTGCTGTTACTAAGTGGGTTTTCCAAGTTGTCATCAACCCGTTTTTTCTGTCCTTTCTTTTGGCACGTGGGAGTTTTTTTCTGTAAATGGTCTGCAGTTTTCAGGTTCGTTGAACCCACCTGTCTTCGGTGGACACGCGCTGGTTTTGGCTTGACTTCGGAAAATGATGTGTCACTCAGACACTCATCCGTATCTGAATCGTTCACCGATTCAAGTACTGAGACGGAATTTCTGGATGAATCACGTTTCTTATTAGATTTAGTCACGACTCTGCCACCTGATTGATTCGAATTTCTGTTAGATAACGGATCCATGAGTTTACCTGTCCCTTTACTCGCTCGGCGCTTAATTTTATCATACATGGATTCATAACCCGTTTCAGCTTCTCCAAAGACAACAGAACCGGCTTTCTCTAATGAACAGGATCCGCGTTCCCAATCGGAGCCATCACTATCCGTAGGTCGCCCTCTCTGTTCAATACCAGATTTCTTCGTGTGAACGGATGCCGACTTAACGCTTACATTGGCGTTTGGAACACGTTTGGCGGGAACAGGCTTGTCTCCCAGGACTTTGGCCGCTTTATGATGATTGGACTGAACTCGCCCAACACGTTTCTCGATAAATAGGGTACGTTCTTGTCGGCTATTCTTCCCCTCAGCAAAAGATGGCTGCATGTTCTCGGTGTGAGTCGCAACCACACGTGGTGAACCATTCGAAATCTGGGGTTGGTTACGAGTTCCACTGTTTCCGGGTTTGGGAATAACCTTAGCAGTTGCATCTGCCTGTCGCGCACGTTTCAGCTTCTCCTTTTTGCGCTCTGTCTTCGTGAACGACGTTCTGAAAATCGAATCATCCAGTGTTGGTCGCACAACATCAGTCTTACTGGATCTTGGTGGTGCTGTGCTTGTTGCTTGCTTGGAAGTCGAGGCGGTCTTGGTTTTAGCTGACAAAACCAACTTCTGACTTTCACAGTGAGAAAAACGTGGAGAAGAGGTAGAATTAGGGACCTCTGACTTGATGGAATTTGTCTGATGAACTGCAGTCTTAGTTAATGATAGACCAGTGGATCTTTCGTCTCTTGCTTCCTTCACATCCGGAATATTCAGGTACACTGATGGTCTGAGTTCGGTTGGAATAGATTTGTTGGCTGCCTCTAATCCAATTGCAGGGCAACCAGGAGAAGTAAGGTCATTTTTCAAAATTGACTTCAAAGGCGGAGCAATTTCCGTATCAACAGCATGCGAGGACCCTTCGACCACTTGAGAAATCAGCGGTAAACGGGTGGCAACCCCAACTGGTTGAGTGCCGACGGGTAGATTGTGTCCTATAGCACCGGAAGGTGGTAGATATTGACAAGCGGAGGATGCATTGAAATGACGGTTGGCTAGACATGGGGAAGTGGAGGCCACTGATGCACTTCCAATTGCATCTGTCACCGACTTCAAAGGTGATGGGTTCGATATTGTTACAGCAGCATAGCGATTGTGTGCAGTTCGCAAACATGTGGAAGAGTCTAGAGTGGGACCACTTGGTTGATCGACAACTGGTACTGAGGGCGACGGCTTGGAAGATAGCATGCTCTTGACGAACTCCGACGTATCGGCGGGCCGTATTAAAGGTGAAGTTTGCAGATTATCAAGCGGTGACACGGAATTAACACCCGTGCACATCCCAGGAAGCGCAGGTATTGAGCCGTCATAAAAATGTCCACGGTCAGAGTAAGCAGCGAAGCCAGCAGGTGAACCTGTAACCTCTGGAACTGCTGTATTATGCGAACTGGGCGTTGAATTACCATATCCAGATGAACTGCTTGATGTGGTGGGACGATCAGAGGTGGCTAAATTTGGTTCTGCTTTGCGTCGAATCCGGAACTTGCTGTAGTCGACAGCTGGGCGAACCTTTCCCGATTTCATCAACTGAGCATCCAGAAGCCGAATGCGTTCATCTAGAGAGCATACCGAAGCGTCGCGTTCGGAATCATTAATGACAGGCTCCATTGAGACGGTTTTAGTGGCTTCCGTTCGTGATGGCACAGGAAGTATGCTTAGATCCGGCCGACCTGATGTATCAACCCAAAGTGGAATCTTCAAGTTCTCTGGTGGCGGAGGTGGTGGTGGGGGTGGAAGTGGTGGGGGAGGCGGAGGTGGGATGTCTCCATCGACTTGAGTAACGTGTGCGACCAACCGTGGGTCACGATTACTATAACTTGACGCATTACACGAAACAGAAATTGGTTTCATGTCCGGCGGTTGTGGAAGTTCTAAAGTCCATGGAACCATTGCGCGAGTTTTTTCGCTGTCAAAATTCAGCAGCGGCATTTTGTCGATAGCTAAAGGAGATCCTGGAGGAGACAAGCAGGTCAATGGTGAAGTTGGTTTGGGGGGCATAATCAACCTCGGTGATGACGTTACGAGTGACTGTGAAAAACCATCTGTTGTGGAAAGCGAATTCGACGGTTTGAGGGAATCAGTTTGGTCGTGAGTAGCAGCATGAACCTCAGCAATGTCACACCGACCGCTTTCTGAAAACGGTGATGTTCGTTCTGCGCCCGTCAGAGAAGCAAGTTCGGTAGATTCAGATGTGTCACGATGGCCGACACGAACAGCAGGAACCTTGGGTTTCAAGCTATTACCAGCCGCGACATCGGATACAGGCGTCACTAGTGCGCTTGGGGGAGCGTGAACATACTGATCCAAGATTCGAGAAGCAAGTCCACCATCCGACGAGGAGAGGGGTTGAAGCTCTTCGGATGTGGATTCACTGTCCCCTTTAGAGGACTCTGTGCGCCTGAAAGCGAAAAGAAACGGCACCAAATTAGAGGTGAACAGGAAAGCAATACAAATGATAAACAAATGCATAGAACACACCCCTACCAATCGAACCCTATAAATTTTATTCGCTGCTCTAACTACTCCAATTGCTAGTTAACCACTCCGCGGGGCGGTCTTGCGCCAACGAAGGACACTGACCGTTTTGACTATCAGTGGGCTTATGTACCTGCAAGGTCCGTGGCATCACGTATAACTGCGGCCGTCACACCCAAGATACCGCCAATGTCCTCCGATCATGACTCTCGCCAAGTCTTGTGTTGTAGCCTCCAGTATGTTTACATTTGACCTCACAAACCCCTTCTGTTAGAAGAACGTCATTCCATAGGTTTATCTGGAAATTTGATGAAAATCTTCATCAAATATGTTTAATTTGATGCTGCCCAGAGGTTTAGGCATCTTGCCCATTCTTTATTGAGCCTTCTTCCCCCATGGGTTTACAGCAGTACACCAGCATGTAGTACTGGTGTAAACAAACTGGTCACAAAATGGGGATTCCTCCTTTGAGCAAGTGTGGTTAAGAGTCCTGATCTACCGACAGAATACAAAGTACCTCTGAAGTCAAGGAAGACCAACACTGTGGGCCATCTGTATATACGGCATTCATCCAGCACCTAACGGAGCGCGAAGATATGGTCGACGCAGCTTCTACCCAGTCAAAATCCTCCTTGATGCTAACGGATCAAGTTTTTGCGTGCCGCCGTAAAACGACGAAGAGGCAGACGCCAGTGGAGTTGTTACAATCAATTAGACATCCTTGCTGTTACTGCATTCAGTGCGAGTACCCTTTTTGAAAATGGGCACTATTATCGAATCAATACAGTTATTTGGGACGCTCTCTTTCTGTCAAATAGACGCTGATGGCTGAGGAATTCACCGACGTTCTTAAACAGAGCAAGCGGAAAGTCATCGAGACCACGAGCACGATGACATTTGAGTACATATATGCACTCGGATCCTTCTCAGGCTAAAGGTGGCCCCATATTCACAGCATACCTTTCTGCTGAAGGCCGCTAGTCCGGATTGGAGGGAGCAGGTGACCAACTGAATTGCTGTTTGAAGTACCCTGTCCAACGGTCAAAACGTTCTCATTTGCTCATTCAGCTGTAGCACCCTTTCGGTGCCTAGCTGCCATGCCACACGAGGGCTGGGATACTGCCAGGACGCCCAAGCCTAGACAGGGGAAGTCGAGAGGCCGAGGTCGGGTTCGAACTACGGAACTTCTGGTCAGTAAATTCGTGCTCTAACCACTTGGTCCATCTCGCCCGCTCTCATCTGCTGGAAATCAAAGGACCATTGCGGGATCTGACGGCTGCTCATGAGGGACCACTGGAAGAATGAAGTAGAGGAACCTTGGAAAATATCCAACACTTTTGCTTCATTCATTTCTTCAGCCTCTCGGATCCACCAAGCTTCCCGGTTTGTACGGATATGTGGTTTAGCCTGGTGTCGATCTGAGTTGTGGCGGGGGCCAAGAGGAATTTGCTGCCGTGCCTCTGTCCCATCAGAGATCCAAGGCTTGGATGAGGCTGACTGGGTTGTACCGCAGGTAGAATCGCCGGTATCGAGTACGACCTTAGATGTCTGTTGTAATTATTGACATCCAACGTCAGCCCAGCCGGCAGGCGTTGGAGAAGTCGGTTCTGATAGGTTTATTTGGTTTCCGAGACCATGAACGTCTCTGTAACTCAGTGGGAAATGCGCATTCTGTGTAGAACTGAGAAGCGCAGCGAAGAACAGCGACGAACAAGCGCATGATCGCAGTTCAGGCAGATAGTGTAGAAAAAGCGTCAGACAGTGATCGACCCTCACCACAGGTAATTGGTGGAATTCTCGTCAATTTGGATTCGGTGTTGGTTTGTTGGTGGATACTACGCTATCAAGTGATTTCCGCTTTCCCAGAAATTGGTACTGCAAAAGAACAGTCTGTGATCAACACACATTGGCAGGTGCTCTCCGTTGTCCAACCTAACAGGTAACTGAGGTGGAGTAGTTCCACTTTGTCACGGATCCGGAACTAGGGTAGGCATTGCGGGTGCCTACTTTGCTACCACTGTGGAACGCCAATGAGAACGCTGTCCATCACTGATGTGTCCCGTCCTAAGGTTCACATCCAAGAAGAGAGCAGTTCTCATAGCGACTGAGCTCACTGACCAAGACATCCATAATCTGTTATCACGCCACAGACTAGCCCCTTCTCAATCCCTTTCACTCTTCACATACTTGGAGGAAAACAGATCTAAGAAGCAGACTGTACAACAGAAGTAGGCGTCCGAAGGAGCATAAGCTATACAACTCGTCCATCGTGGAAGTTTGTCCTCCCCATCTGATACGCCCCAATATTGCTAGCCTCATATCGCAGTTTCAGATAGCTCAGTGGTCGAGACGCAAACGTGCCGACTGTCAGGTTCGTGGTTCGAACCCACAATCACGGTATCTAGACAGCTTTTGTTTAGGCTTAGGTGACCTAGCGGCATCTTGGCCGTCGTGCTTCCTTCGGGTAGCACAGGGTGGTTACAGCTAAACAACTATCATTATTAGTAATAGTATCTTATTATTGCTATAAGTATTAATATCTTGTCCCCACCGGACATGACCAATGCTGGTTCGAACATCGGATCTTCTCCGTATTTGACTGACTAGCTGAATTCACGGATGTCGGTTAGCAAGTTACTTGATCCTTAAGTAATTGGAGTGGGCTTGGCCCTAGCCAACCTTGCAGGCGTGAACTTTATGGTAATTCGTGGGACTTAACTGATTAGGATAGTTAACGTGACTCGTATTCCTGAGACATGATCCAATTACAGCAATGCTGTCAGCATAGTGTTTGGAACAACCGTCTTTGAGCTCTGAGACACTAGATGAGGGCAAAGAAAATTCGAGTGATATGTCAGCAACGAGGTTAAGAAGAGTGGTAGAAGATAGCCATGGACGCACATCCATAGAGCTGGTGTGGTGCTTTTAAAAGAAATTCAAAAAGCAACAACCAATATCATGGCATCCGGCAATAAATGTGATCAAAAGCTAACAAAAACAAAGGCAGTTGGAAAATAACGACAATAATACATTATTTCATCTCCAAAAGTTTTTGGCTGTTCGAGACGATGGTGGTGTTCAAGCATCTGCTATAGTGTAGGTGGAATCAATTCATGCTTCCAGATATTAACGTATGCACGATACGGTCGGCAGCCACGCGTGTTAGAAATGTGGGAAAACGGTGATGAAATCAGGTCTTTACGAACGAAACGGTGCCGAACAAAACCGCTTAAGACAAGACAATAGCCTAAACCAAAAAGCAACTGATGACGCCAGGAACTGGCTACATTCACCTAGAAATATGATTTATTCAACTCACCTTAACTTTGATGTTTGAACGTTGGTTGCAAATGCATCGTCCGCATCCCGTTTTCTGTTGGGAAAGACTGCTAGCTTTGGTTTGGTTCCAACCACTACTTCGTTATTCAATAACGACAACTCACGAAGAAGCTTCGCGCGTTCTTGCTCGAGCTTCGTTAATGTATCATGGGACTCGTCAGCACTGTCTGCCAGTTGACAGAACTTCGCTAACCGACTAGCCCCACTCTCATCACCGGAATTCACGCGCGTATTCCGACCAGGAGATTGTTTCGAACCTGTGAGCGTGGAATGATCACCGATTGCAGTATGTTTACTCCCCGAAGTGTTCAGGAAGTCCCTATCAGCAAACGAGTTAGCTGCTGAGGCGTAGGGATCTGTGGCTTGAGAACGCGCACACCGTTGTGAGGGGAACACAACTCTCGAAGTGCTGCCTTTACCGTCTTCACGACTACGGTGCCGAATAGCAGCGACACCGGCACGAAGAAAAGGTCGCGGGGGTGAAGAGGAGGATGAAGTTGTTTGCCGGTGACGAGAAAGACCTCGCGGGTGAACATTGACAGGACTGGATGAACCACTATCAGGGTCATCAAGATGTTTCAGAGAGTTGGACAGACTTTCAAAAGAGGGTGAATTACGTCTGTGTGATCGATTAACGCGTAAATGGTCGGAACGGACCAACGAACGTCGTGTTCCAGAGGAACGGAGAATGACGCTTTTACATGTAGATAACCGTTGAGAGGCGCTTGAACCACCTCTCAGCGGCAAATTATCCGTCCCATCATCTGGAGAAAGTGAATCGCTGCTAACGATATCTGTTTCGTCTAGATAGTGGCTGTTTACACGAACCTCCGAGTGTACGGGATTGCGCCTTGAGCTCGTGTGATTGACCCTAGCAGCCAGTTCTGAGGATCGATGCGTGCGCCAGTTTGAATCTCGATACGGAGAAGGTGCATGGGACAATAGGTACCTTCGGGAAGTTTCACTGTCATCCAGTACCTTGTTGGCCAGTGATTGATCCATGTGGTGTCGAGACTTTTTGGAGCCAAATCGGTTGGAGATAGGAGAGAGGGGAGTTTCAAGTGCGAATTCTTTGACTAGCGTATTACTTCGCCTGCCAACAGAGCTAGAACTCGTAGCCGAACTCATACCTTTGTGGTATGCTCGGTCACGAGGGGGATCTAATAAACCCACTCTGTTCGTTAGGTGATCTGTTCCCGAATGTTTTTTAGATGACGCACGCTTAGTGGATCGACGGTGACAGGGTGCTCCATAATCATCACTTTCGCTATCGTGGTTATCTTTCGCCATCTCCGTAAGGTATCTGGAAAAAGAGGGACAAAAACGCATCCAGGTGACATTTCTATGTAAGTGTCCGGATTTATGTGCCAAAACTACTGTCAGTTTACAATCAACGGCCAAATGTGAGCTGAGGATGGGCTAAAGTGTAGACCAGCAACTAGGATACCAAGATGGAGCTGCAGCTACTGTAGATAATGCAAGAAAGCTTCCTATAAAATAGCTAAAGCAGCCACACATTCCAAACACTCAACAATACAGTAAGGATCCCACCGGTACCGCTCAGAAATATCCTCAGGATGGTAGATGGCACCGACAGCATTGACTGCTTGTAATCTCGCGCGTTTCCTCCGGGAAAATAGTGAACGTGAAAAACCATCCAATTATAATCCCTACACTGTCCAACCATGCCACCTGAAGGAAGCACGAGTGCCGAGATACTCTCATGTGGCCCAAGCCTAGACAGAAGTAGTTAAGATGCCGGGTTGGAAGTGGAAGCATGGATGTTCATGTCAGTAAGGTTACGCCTCAGCCACTCAGCTGTCTACAGCTGGGAGGAACGCCTTGAATGCATCACCGTCGTCACCGACAGCAACATGAAAAACACCGCTGTATCACTGCCAAATAACCATATCGATTTCAACCGGACTGAAAATTCGAATGGGGAGGAATACCTAGAACTAACCAAACACAGATACCCTAAGTTCCTTGTAATAACGGTATTTTCTTAGCTTATTTCACCGCTTCAGCTTTCCAAGGTAGCATTCTCGTCAAAAAACGGACAAAGGTTCACAACGTGTATTAACGACCAAAACCGGGTCAAAGACGCACGTGCAGCGCTTCGCATATAACGTGTGTGCGGCGACAACATTCTGGAAATTCTGATACCTGAATGCGCCATTAGCAGCCTGCATTAAGATGGCGGATTATGATCGGCTACTGGGCCCACATTTTCGAACAATCAGAGCTCGCCTTGACGTTGGACTGGCAAGCGGCCTGATATGCTGGTCAATCGCGTGAGGGATGGGCTTCTCGGTCGTAGCCGCGCCCAACTGCGAGCTGTACGGCGGTATCGGTGCCGACTTCCGCCTAACACCTTGAAGTTTGCTAAGTTTCGAAGTCAGTGGCCTCACTAGCTTGCAGATCCAGTCTATTCGGTGTCCCGGCAGTAATGCGTGCTCGGGATGGGCCTCCGACTGAGTAGCCTATTGGATTTTCCGCAATAGTCCCGATACGAAAAGTATCCAGGAACATCTCTAGACTCAACTAATCTGATCCAGTGGGCAGGATCTGCTCATCTGTCCGTCGGATTTGGTTCGCGCGCCGGATCCACATGGAAACGCCAACTTGAATTTCGTAAAGCAGTTTGCCGCGTCGGCGAAGAAATCTAGAATCAAGCTGGAGTGTCTATCTCTGTAGTCGTGGACCAACACTATTCGCTGAAAGAGCACGCAGGGGCACCAGGATGCCGGTTGAACAACAATAAATAATAGTCCAGCTGTAGCGCTCTTTCGGTGCCTAGCTGCCATGTCACTCGAAAGAAGCATGAGGGGTGGGATACTGTCAGGTTGCTCAAGTCTAGACAGCGGAAGTCGAGGCCGGTCGGGTTCGAAGCACGGACCTTTCGGTCAGTAAATTCGCGCTCTAACCACCTGAGCCGTGTTGAGGCCATTCAGCTGCCTTTCCTGTGGCCGAGTAGTGTCATGCGGTGTTTAAAGCTTCCTTCGGAGCAGTGCCTCTGTTGAGATACTTCATCAGCCGAGTTGGGGTTCGGCGTCGCTCGATACGCCAGCATGAACCTTTGCGAAGTCCCTTCCGTTCGCCAATTGTTGTAACTGTATTTTCCTCAGCTTAGTTCTCGGTCTGAGCCTCCCAAGCTAGTGTTCACGTCAAAACAACCACCAAAGGTGCACAAGGTATATTGACGCCCAAAACGAAGTCAGGAACAGTTGTACAGCGCTTCGTATATATAGCGTAAGCGGCTATAACTTTCTGGAATTTCTGACGCGTTCTGGAGCTCCATTGGCAACCGGCATTTGGCCAATACTGGGTCATGATTGGCTGTTGGGTCCAGATT